CTTGGGACACTATGAGTGAATCTGAGACAATTAAATTCATGTTCGCCATCCAGAAAGACATCCAGATCCAGCTGGAGTGCTATATTGATGTCCACATTGGTGTACCATTTGAATCCCAATGGACGTCCACTCTGAGTGTTTCTCATAAGTGGATGCTGTCCCGAGATCTCAGCCAGGTAAAATGCGGGACGTTCCAGATCAGAAACTTCAATGGCATCCAGTCGCCTGAAGACTGGTTTGCCTAAAGGAAATTTATTGGCACTGTTCATGATGCTAGGATAGCAGCTGGTAATGTCGTATTTCCAAGCCTGTCCCTGCCAGTCCTTCTCGGCATACATGATTCCACCCATGAAGGCTTGCTTGACAACATGTTGTACCTCACAATCGGCATCATGTAAGTGACTGCGGACATTCTTGCTCATGGAATTCATCAGGGCAGCAACTAACATATTATTGATCGAACCCTGGGTAGGATCTAAGAAGCCGTTGGTTTTTAGGGTGAGTTGGTAGAAGCTACGGTATTGCTTGACGACGTCCCGAAAGATGATCCTCTTATCCCCAATGGGTATAAAGGTGATGTTTTCAGAACAGGCTTTCCTCCAGCCCCAAAAGGACTCACGACGTCGCGGTGACCAAACTATTTTTCTCCGATCAGTTTCAAATTCACCAACCAATTGGCGCTTGGTATTTCGGTTGTATTTGTAGAAACGACCGATTTGCATGCGATTATCCGGGTCTTTGGGATGGTCGCGATAAAACACTATCTCCTTGTCCATGATTTCTATATTAAATAAATCATTTTTTCTTTAATATAGAAATTTAAAAAAAAAGCATTAAGCACTGGAGTGATGAATTTTAAGCAAGCTTGAAGTATATGCGAGCATCAACTGCCTGAAAATCCTCGGCAAAGTCCTCGCCATCGTCCTCTAAATCATCGTAGTCATCAGGACTCCAAATGTAAATGCTGGGTTCACTGGTGGCAAGGAATTTACCACTCCGCCACTGTCCGTTATGCCCATGTTTTACCGCCACTGACATCTCGTACTGACCTGGACGATGTTTGTCAACTAGCAGCCTTACCTGCTGGCTGGCGTGCATAATATCATTGTAATTGAAACTGGTCTTGTTGGCTGGCATTTTGACCTTAAGTTGTTTGATTGACTCTCCCTTAGAAGCTACTTTGGTATCCGTAGCCTTGTTCCACACCCTTTGAAAAGCATCTTGATTCATTATAATAATATGATTTATAATGAATCATTTTTTTAAGTGCTTTGATTTAATTGTTCCTCTAATGTAGCCATTTGTTCTTGAAGACCCGAGACCTGTTCCTGGAGTCCAGAAAGCTGTTCCTGGAGCTCTTCAAACTTGCCTAAGCTTTCTAAAGTTTTAAAGGCTGGTTTGATGGGTTGTATGTTGACCTTGGTAGTTACTTTTGAATCTCGTCCCGCTAGGCATTTCTTCGACCCCTGGTGGCGCTTCAGGTTCACTTTGCTAATCCACTTGCCACAGTGTTCGCAAGCTACTTTCTGCTTCAGACGCTCAAGCACCTGCCTTCTAAATTGTTCATCAGTTCGATATCTTTGTCCATAGTCGGATTTCACCTTTTCAATCTCGCCAGCTTTTCTTGGCATGTTATTATATTAATAATAAAATCATTTTTAAGTCAAGTCAATCTATGATTGTTAATTATTATCATGTTTTAATGCCATTTCGTTTTGCTGACTCGGTGATTAATTTGCCAAACACATCCTTATTCAACTTACCATTGACCCGAGATTGTACAGCTTGCACAAAGTCTGAATCAACCATCTCTTTAACAGACTCTTCATAGCTGGGCGGAACTTTGGAATGAAAAGAGGGTACGAAAGTAAGCATGTCTGTTAATTGATTGACAATGTCTGTCTTTGCATCCGCTACCGATTTGCTCACAACTTTCTTCATGGCGTTCTTAAATTGCTGGGCATTGTACTGACTCCTCAGAGTGTTCTTGTAGTCCCCGAACTTATTGCGCCACTCAGAACTATATACCTGTTTTTGAGTTAGGATGGCAGCTTGTAAGTCAGCATCACCGTCTTTAATAGCCTGAGCTAGCGCATCTGCATCCATACTCATAAGCCCATCCGCCGCGCTCCGAATCTTTTCTTGAGCGCCAGCTTGTAGCCACAGAACAACCCGTTGCAAGTTGCCATTGAATATCTTGATGGCATCGGCATCTCCTGAATTTAGGGCGGCATCACGGAAAGCCAAAGCCGTATCCGCACTAGATTTACTCTTTGCTAAAGCCTTTTCCAGAGATGTATCATAAATAGCCCGTGCTGCCTTTTCCATGGCGCCGCCTTTATTCAACTCAGATAGAGTTTGCTTCTCGGTTGGTGTCATGGTAGAAAGGCTATTTTTGAGGCTAGCAGCGGCGGCTTTCGAATATTGGGCTTTGCTGATGTCTTGCAATCGATTCCCTAGATCTTGAATTTCTTTGTCAAGGTCATCTTCCTGTTGCTGGGTCATTCCTGTACGATCTAGATTGACTTTTTGATTGTACTCTTGATACTTTTGGGCAAATTCTTGATTCTCGTTAGGAGCTGGAGTAGGAGTGATTGGTTTACCTGGAGCAGGAGCTGGAGTAGGCGTGATTGGTTTACCTGGAGCAGGAGCCGGAGTAGGAGTGATTGGTTTACCTGGAGCAGGAGCAGGTTTGATTGGTTTACCTGGAGCAGGAGCAGGGGTAATTGGTTTACCTGGAGCAGGAGCAGGGGTAATTGGTTTACCTGGAGCAGGAGCAGGAGCAGGAGCAGGAGCAGGAGCAGGAGCAGGAGCAGGAGCAGGAGCAGGAGCAGGAACAGGAGCAGGAGCAGGAGCAGCGAAATCACTCATGACCGTTTTTTTTAAAGGTCTGCTAGGAATACCGTAAAGCTTTTTCCAAGCGCTTACCACTTCGGACTTGGTGGTGGGAAATAGGGGTTGACCGGTCACGCGGATGGGAGGCGTAGTCATCATAATGGGAATGGTATCGCTGGGCAGTTGCCAGGGTTTAATGCTTTGATGAGAATCTCCCTGGAATAAGCCATCCGGAGGGGATTTAATGGTATTATCAAAATTACCCAGATTCTTCAGACTTCCCGAGTCCTGTCCCGCGTTTTTTTTTGGCGGTTCTGAGTTGGCTTTGATGTGTCGACCGGCTTGTCCCATCTTGGGCAGCCCCGAAAACTTGACTGATTCCGCTATTTTAGTACGTCTTTGCGTGATACCTTGCTCAGGACGATTGCCTTGCACTTGCTTGAGAGGCTGGGTACTGCCATCACCGTGCACTTCCCAGTTGAAACTATTTTTAATTTGTTTTGCCTTGCGTTTATCCTTGAGGCGTTGCAGATATGCATGATAATTACCTTCCATATATTATATAGCAATGTCAGAATCTTTACGAAAGCAACAATACCACAACCGCCTTGAGCACCACAAAAAGCAGTTTGAAGACCAAGCGCATAACCAGAAACAAGGTCTAGGCGCTTGGAATTATAGTTTTGAGGAATACGAGGACGATGCCTGGAGCTACTACCATAAACATACGGCTCTCGTCCTGGCTGCCATAGGTCTTACTGGATTGGGGCTGGTATATTTCAATCAAAATTATCGAGAGAGATGGGAGAACATAGCATTCAGTTCATGGTAGCAACTCAGTATTATCTACCCACTGTTCAAACAGTTGGGGTGGCAGGGCATACCAACTGCCATTATTTATTTTAAGTATATATTTGCCATTTTCTACCTTCAAATAAATACCGCTGGTAGTATGAACGTAATCAATCAAACCACCTCGATATTGAATGAAAAAACATTCCTTTTCGTCTTTCCCTTTTTCTCGCTCAGAAATGGACAGTATAGTTCCGTCCTTGTCATATTTTTTCTCTGTCACACGATGAAGATACTCCAAATAATAATAATATTTGACACCATCTTTGGAATACTTTTCTTTCCGTTCCTTGTACTTACGAACAAAATCATATCTGTTGCCATCTTCATCGTAATCGCAGTCAACCCGCCAAACCCAATTCTTCTCCTTAACACCACCATTGGGGTAATATGAGATAAATGCCGGATCGTCCTCATTCCTAAGTATCGACCCATTCTGGTACCAAATCTGGCATCCCATACTGCCGTCTTTGTTATAGATAGTAACGGCAGGTTCATCATCGGACCGATGATACTCTCCCTTGTCATTGAGCCATTCAATACGAAGTGTTTTACCATTTCTTGTACTTACACGCTTCGTCATTATATAAGTAATATGATAATTTTTTTAAATCAATTAAAAATGAAATGCTATGCCATGTTATATGGGAGATTATATAAGAAAATATAACCTAGGGGAATTATTACAATACTTTATTGTATATGATAATGTATAATGACGAGCTTGCAAGATTTCAATACTCCCTTACCACTCATATGGTAGATTAGACATTGGTTGCCGTGTCAAGCCAGCGAGTATGCTTCGCTTATGATAGGTGACTTTATTGTTGTTCAAATTAGTATATTTCACGAATCCGTCTTCTACTATCCAAATAGGAACGTCATTACCAATTCGATATTCCCTAACAATACCCTGACCATAAGTTCGTAACCAAGTATCTGCTATAGTGAAAGAACCCTCCATTACTTATTGTAATTAGTTATTTTTTTACATTTTAAAACCCTTAGTTAATTTAAATGTTAAATCAACAAATCAATGAGGTCGATTAAGAGCTCGAGGGTGATGTATGCCCCCAAACCCAATGCACCGTACAAAATTATTTGTTGGGTGGATTGTGGTTGTGAGTAAAACCAGTACTCCAATCTTTGTTCCGCTGTGGCATCATCGGGTAGTTGCTGCCCATTGTTAAGGGCATCCTGCACAGAGGGATCTGGGGGCGTGACACCCAGAAAGCTGCCTAGTAAACCCCCTACACCGGGAATCTTGGTTGCTAAGGACAACCCAACCCCCACCACGGGTCCCACGACAGGAATCTGACTGGAGACCTGCAGGGCGCTTTGCGTGGTACTCCTAACAGAATCATAGGCGTCTTCATATATGCTGCCTGAATGCGCTTTTTTGCTACCGCAGCCGCCACCATCACATTGCCCAAAGGTGACGGCAGAAACCGCGGCGTCACCTAGGTCTTTATATACGTTACCTGAATGCGCTTTGCTACTGCCACAGCCCCCGCCATCACATTGTCCTGCCGTCACACCGCTAACGAAATCATCGCCCACCTTTTTCCATGAACTAGCTGAAAATGGATTCCAGACCATTACTACTATACTTTATGCCTTACAAGCACATTAATTAGATCCGGTCGATGATTTTAAACAAGAGTTCCACCCCGACAAAGATAAGCAAGCCTTCCATGGCTAATTGGGGCAGACCAGTGAGGTCTAAACCGGCACCCAGCAGTCCACCACTACCTCCAAGGAGAGATGACCCTCCAACACCTCCTAGTAGTTGTCCTGGAACTTGCACAATTGCACCGATTGGTTTAGTAAGATCGCTCATAAAATCAGAAAACGAGTAGCCCATATACTATTATATTTGTTTAATCTAGTTCATCCTCTAAGGCGGCTCGGGCAATGGCATGACCGGTTCTGAAGAATGCAGTACCCGTCTGGCTACGCTGCAACAGTTCACGGGCGCGATCAGCAAACATGCCGTTTAGTTTGTTTTGGTATTGGTCGGCTAAATTTTGCATGGCTTCCTTGTGAACATCGACCAAGTCACTCCTGATTTGGTTGGCAAAGCCGGTGAGATCGGGCATCGGAGTCGGCGCTGCTTGAACTTGGTCCTGCAATGTCGGACTAGATTCCGAAGCATCAGGTACACTATCAGCGTCCCCCCCATCACTATCAGGAGGGAGTCCCGTAGCCTCTGTAGCCACGTCCGCAGTCGTCTCAGGAATCGATTCTTCAATGTCTTCAGGTTTCTCAACGCTTTGTGCAGTCTGAATATTTGTATCATCCATATATTATATATGGAGGAAATATCGGAAAGTCAAGCCCGCCAAGAGCTCATGAATGTTCAAAATCTTAACCTGGAACGGGATACCTTTATCACACTGATGTCACAACGCCGTAGCGGCAAATCAGTGCTTATCGCCAGCCTGATTCATTATTTCATGGAAGCGGCACCGCCAGACCAGCGATGTCATTTTGCCTATCTTTTTAGTGCCACTGCCGCCTTAAATCAGACCACCAACCACAGTTACAGTTTTTTTGATCGTAAAGCCATTTTTAATCCCAAACCAGAAATTATGAATAACTTTATATCCAACCTGATCCGGTCACAGACGCAAACAAAAATGAAGTATCATGTCCTGCTGGTTTTTGATGACATTGTGGTCACCAAGCGTTACGAAGTCCTGGAATGGTTAGCTAGTGCTGGTCGGCATTATAGTATTACCGTGATCCTTAGTAGTCAGATCAGTAACAACGCCGTCAGCCCGACTATTCGTAGCAATGTGGATTATATTTTCTGGCGTAAGTTAGGTAAAGCCGCGATCCAAAATAATATTTTCCCGTTTATGAGCATCTCCGAATTTGAGGATTATAAACAGCTGCATGAGTTTACCCTGGCAAACACCCAGGACTACCAGTTTGTTTTTTACAACAACTGCACTGATGCAACTGAAGACAAGGTCAAGGTAGTCAAGGCTTATCCCATCCCTGAGCATTACCGCTATACGATCAGAGCTCCCAGTCAGCAGCAAAGGCGGCAACGACGTCATGGTAATATAGCTATTAGGTGGTAATTAGGTCTTTAATAATAAAAATGATTCAAAATCATTTTTATTATGATTTCTCTTAGAAGAAACACAATAGGTAGAGTATAATGGAAAACCAATGGACAAGATTGCCAGAGCCCAACTTGCCTGCAAGTTCCTGGAGTCGCAAATATACCAAAAAGAGAATTAAAAGATTCGTATTTTGATTCAGAGGGAAAGTATATTTCTATTGAGCGGCTAGGACAGATGCGCAAGATCAATGGCGTCATGATGATTCCCAGGGTATGAGCTGCTAACACAACCCTTCGCAAATTATATATCCATTGCAGTTTTGATGGAAAAGTGAAGTTACCTCTTTGATAATTTCATTTGCACTAAAACCTCCGGCGGACTCTTTCAGAACTACCCCAATTGCAAACCAGTTGCAGTCGATAAATTCCAGTTTAACATCACGCTCGTCAGTCAGCTTATGATTGTAATCGAATATAATCGCATGTTCTAACTGCTCCTTTAATTTGAGACGAGCGTTGAAATAATCTATGGTGTTATGTTCTAATTTGTATATCTCCGGGGTCATGGGTGTAAGTTTGTGCTGTTCTATTATGAATCTTAATTTCCCATCCTCAGCCCCAGAAACATACATGTCTAATTCTAGATCAGTGTGATGATCATGCCAAAGATAAGAACGGAGTTTTATGTCTTTCATTGTATTCATAGTATATTATATTTGAATACAGCTTTCAATTTTAATGAATGCCCTCGATTGACATTACTTGATCGCCTTGTCTGCTGCGCCCATTGCACCAGGCTTCTTCCCGGGAGCTTCCCCTGAGGCTAGTTTTGGCAGTTTTTGTGTTAGCCCCTGATCGGGTTTCTTGCCCGAAATTTGCTTGAAGGCTCTGTAACCTTTACCTCGGGTTTCGGCGTAAAGACTCGCTAGTATGCCCCCAGCAAATGTATTTGGATCTAACTTGGGCTTTTTGGTTTTCTTCGTTTTCCTACAGCCGTGTTCAACGTATCCCTGCCTGGTCTTGAAAAACTTGCCGCACTTTTCACAAAAATATTTCATCTATAATATATGGATCAATATTACTACAATTTGAAGAGACAAATGGATGCAATGGCTGCCCCCAACCAGTTCACACAAAACGCCTGCGGCTGTCAATGCGGGGGAATATGCCAGTATGTCCCTGGTGAATTTAAGAAGGCATTGGAGAAGAGTGTGGATCCGGCTATATTGTTATTGGTTCTAGGACAGGCTTATGTCATGACAGAGGCACAAAGGAGGGAGCGAAACCAGTTTGCCTATATGGCTTTAGGTAGTTTTATGAATCTGGTGATCTACAATCTGAGCAATTAGAGTTGCTGAATGCATTATAGTATATGCCAGGACTATTTTTGTCAGATATCTACTACAACTTCATGATGCTTACAGGCGATCCTTTAGGAATGATCAGCACTGAACAGCATGCCCTTGGTGAACCCTATGCTCTCAACTTCATAGACGGCACAGAGGTTTGGACACACCAAGCAGATCCTGAAACCGCCTTAACTGAACACGGTGAATTATGGGACAAGGACAAGTACCCCCAGATTGCCCCTTCAATAAGTGCGTACGAGGCTGGCGAGCATATTTGGGCTGCGGAATTCACCCAGGAACAATACGAGAAAAGTATGCAGGAGGGCGCGCTGCTTGGCTTGTCCTTTTTACCCTGGAGCACCCGTGTACTAGCCGGTAGTGGCAACAGCAAGGGACGTTATTTTGGACGTGCCGATTACCATTGGAGAAACAGTGGTGACCTCACCTATGCCCTTGCCTTCAATGAATGGAGCGGTCAGCTCTTGACCATGAAACTGCAAACTATGGCAATTCTGACAGCGGTTTCAGTAGGAGGCTACTACGGAGGCAAATATCTTTACAATAAATATGGTTAAAATTTAATTGATAATAATAAATCATCAAATGGTTTATTATTAACACACTAAGCTAATTTAATTATTGAACAATGAGTTGTCCGCCTTGGACGCGGCAGTGCTTATAGCACATGGCTACAACGGTGCAGTTATAGTTTCCAGTCGCCTGGGCAGTAATACGTAGTTTCATGTTACGAACCAGAGGCTGGGCACCGGACATAACACCTTCGCGGTAATCGGCTTGGGGGTCGGTGGCTGGGCAGTAGACCAGATAGAGACCGTGGCTTTGGCTGGCGGTGTTATTAAAGTTATCGGGATAGTTGATAGCCAGCAGCTCAGGAGCCTTCCATTGGATGCCGTTGGTCAGGTTGTGCCCGGATTCGTCCTCCAACCAGATGCGGTCAATAACATCACTCAACATGGTATCACGGTTGGCACCAGCTAGGTTGGTGTTGCGGACAAAAACCCACATGTGGGAGCACAGGTCATCCGGGCTAAAGTTGTTGAGCACCCAGGTGGTGGTAGACCCGTCGGTCAAGCTCAGGGTCTTTTCCTCGTGCTTGGGCTCTAGGAAACGCCAGTCCAGGTTGGGTTTGGAGATCTGCTGCAGGGCGCTGTCATCACCCCGGATTTCCCGAAGCATGAATTTAAACTCCTTAAGGGCTATGTTACCTGTATTTAGCACGTTGCTAGCCACTTGGGAATAAAACCGGAGCGTAACTTGCTCGTCACACGTAGCCAAGGGAATGCCGCATTGAGTCAGCAATGAGGTGATGGGGATGCGAATAGTGGGACTGTCCGACAAGGCGCCGAAAACAGCGGTGGAATCCACGGCATAGTTAGCAGCGTCATACACCTTAGCCTCTTGATGGCGTTCGTGTTCCCAGGGATCTTTGTAAATTACGGCATCCATCCACTGCTCCAAATCAGTAACGGTTTGCTTAATTTCATTGCCGACCCGGATGTCGATACGCGAAAACAAATTGCTGGGCATGCTATTAAAGTTGTCACCAGCCATGTCATTGTTGGTCAAAACCAGATGAAGATCGGTCTGGTTAACGTAGTGGATGTGCTTGGGCAGGTCCACATCGATATACTGGTTGACACTGTTGAAAAAGGTAGCTGGTGGAGCTACCTTGGGTTGTAATTCGTGAATAACGTGCCTTAAGCTGCCGGCAGTGACGGCATGTTCAGGTCTCTTGAAGCGATACAAACCATTAAAAACGGGGGTCACATTTTTCTCGAGATCCACTAACGACTTAAGGTGGGGAAAGTGAAGACGACTGTTTCCTTGTCTTTCTGAGACACTCATATATTCTTAACAAATATGAATGCCTCGAGCACATTGAATGCCTAGAGCACATTGAAAATTAAATTACTTAAGCCTCAAATCGTTTAGCCACGCGATTGCGGCGACGCTTGTCAAGAAGGAAATTGGTTACCTTAGAACTTAATTCCCAGATGGATTCGGTTTCGAACTCGGCAAACATTTGCTTTAAATCAGCTTCATTAAGCTTATTGATTTTGACAATGACAGCGCGACGGGCTTGTTCAAACTCACTGCGTTTGGGCAGTAATTCAGTGATTTTTACGGTTTTCTTTTCAACCGTGCCATCTGCCTTTATTTCTGTCATCTCAACTGAAGTGGGGTCACCGGGATCTCTAACGCGGGCTTCTGTTTCCAAGGTTTCTAGATACATTTTGTAAGCTTTCATCTCGTCGTATTCGGTATAAGCCGCCGCAATATCCTTAGCCCTTCGATCCATTTGGAGATCGGCATTATCATAGCGATTGTCAAAGTCCTTGTTGAGTTTTGGATCACTTGCCATATACTATTATGTTTCATAAACTCATTCAAATTCCAGAAATGCCTTATTCCATGAGCTTCTCTATAGGCAATACTGTCAGCTTAGCTGCCAAGTTGTAACCTGCACCCTCTAAAAACCCATTTTCAAAAGTATACGTGTGAACCGGGGGGACTGTGCGGACTCGACCGGTGGGGCGTAGGGCAGTGGGTTGCACCTGCTGGAAACCCTGTTCCACAAAACTAATGGCATTAAGACTGTCAGTGTCGATAAATTGATGCTTGATAGCACCGTTAATTGCGCCGTGAAACAGGGGTTCTATCCAGGTAGCCAAGGGCGTGGTATAGGGCACTAGAAACTCGACCGTTACCACAGCTGACACTAACTTAGCAAACATGTTGGTGGCGACGTCAATTAACACATGTGGATTATCGGGTAGGTATTCGTCGTATAAAACATCTTTACCTAGGACATAGAGACCCACCAGGGCTGGTTGTACCAGATAGTCAATCATGAATGTGCTCATATAATATATAGCATGTTCAGGGCTTTAAAAAATCTTTTCAAATGCCGATGGGAAGGTAACCAAGTAACTATCTCTAGTAGCTGCTGTCGTAGTCAACGCGTCACCTTGACTTTTCACAATGTGGACGAAACAACGGCTGAAATTGTGCGTGCTTTGATCGCCACTCAGCGGGGAACATTGGCTCTAACTCAATCCAATGGTCATCTAGTTCTGACCGACGAGCACCCACTGGCAATTCCGGTCGAACCGCCCAAACCCACATCAGATAACGAGAGTCCGTCTCAGCAATAATTTTAGCCAAACGATACAAAGTATATTTGTTACCAAAAAGATTACGCTGCCTGCCCGCTGGCTTGCCCCTTTTCATGAAACGGGTTCTGAAATTTTGAATACACTTGGCGTAGGCATCCATAAAACGAATATAAGCTTGTCGGATAGGCTGGTACTCGGGTAGCTCAGGAAATCGGCATTGCCAACTCTCTAAATGTTTAACAAAATTCTTAACCGAGGAATATTGATTGTTGTAACACTGCATATCTACAGGGAATTCTGTCACCATTTCTTGATAGGGAAAATAATCCCGGCATTCATGGCAATAGATCCATCCATTAATGTCGTCAATGTCGCTACATTTATCGTGAAGACATTCCACTATCGGTGCGGGTTTCCGGAGCAAGGTGGATAAGCGTTCATAGTGAATTTCCATATAATAACTTTTCTATGGAAATTTATTTTTAAGTCTAATCGCACTCAAAGCGGAGCACCATAAAGCTATCGCTTTGCAAAGCCAGACCCCCGATCCCCTCAACTTCCACATTTAATCGTTCTAAAGGCTCATTGGGAGCACCGTTGATAATGACTTGCTGGGGAGGATGCGTGGAATCATCGTCCGTGACGAAAAATGAGACCGCCTCTTGAGTTGGATCGCCATCACCGGTCAGGACACAAGCCCTGGTAATCTTGTCGATACATACCTTCACTGCTACGGCACTGGATTCCGCAGTGGATTTCAGGTTGGTGCTCTCCAGATAACACCTGTTCCATATTAGCGAACCCGGCAATTCCGCCGTAAAACTGGAACTTGAAACGTGTAGGAATACGATCATATATTAATTACCTTTATTATTATTCTTGCTGAAATAATAGTTGGCAGCATAACCTGTCACGGCACCCACCAAGGCTTCGACACCGTTGTTTTGATTAAATTGTTGGAGGTTGCCGCTCATGCCAGTTAGCAAATAATAACCCCCAGCAAAGGCAATATTATCGACATGCTCTGAACCCACGGCTAGACCTACGTTGATACCAAAGATTTGAGCCAGGGCAGCGTAAACCGCCTTGAGCCCAAGCTTGGCTACTTCGTCGGTGCCATGGTAATAGGCTGTAGCGCAAGTAGCCAGGACAGTCAGTGCTAGGCTGTAGCCGATATTGGGTCGTGTTAGGATATCCTCTTGATCCTTAAACACCTGCTCAATATCACTCTGTAATTTGCCAGCATCCGCGATCAAGTTTTGCTTCATAACTAGCATGGAACCTGAGTTTTGACCTACGACACTCGTTTTGTGTGCTTTCATATACCTTAAGGAACTTTACTTATTTTCCATAGCCATGATCTTTGCTAAATGTTCCTCATACGTCAATTGTTTTGGCTCTTCGTCACTAGGAGCTTCGCCTACCAAATACTCAATGAAAAATGCTAAATAGCGCTTGAACTTGCCCTTGTGTTCATCATCAAAATCCAGTTTCTTTTGCATTTCGCCCACTACCATATCCAAATTGTGGCGCTGTGGGATTAAAAGCACATAAGCAAGACCCTGCATCTTCAACCAGCTTATGTTTTCATATTCCTTAATAGTCTCGCCATTCCGAGACACCTCTTTTACAAACCTCTTAAAATTGTCCAGTTTTTCATTGACGTCCATATATTATATATGCCTAAAAACTCTCAAGAATATGCTCAGGCTCTCCAGGACTACCAATCGGGAAAACCCCTAAAAGACATACTTGCCGAAAATCCCGGAATCAAAAGATCCACATTTTATACCTACAAAAAACAAAATCTAAACCCGGAATCGGTGGAGGAACCCCAGCCAAAACCAATTTCTAAGCAAACCGTCACTGTGACCAAGAAACAGCCCGAGCAAGTAACTCAGGAAATTCCCATCAATTACTCCCAACCGGAAAATGTCGGAACTGCTCCGGCAATCCAGGACGACTTTTTGGCGGGGGAGAGACCCGAACTGTTCATGGACGTGGGAGCCGATGCTCGAAAGGAAAGTATGTTAGGATCCTTAATGTCAAAATCCAGCGGAGGAAAAGCTGCCATGGTGGACGAATTATTTGGCGACATAGATCTGTTTCAGCCCAAGACCTTAGCACAACCACCCGTATCCAAACCACAACAAGACCCAGTGGTCAAAGGCAGCACCATCTTGGGACACGGCAAGTCTTGGTGGACTAAAATGCCCAAACTCAAGAAGGAAAAGACACCGGAACAAGAACGCGATGAACAGCAAATGGTCACCGTACAAAAAATTAGGCTGTACTTAATGCATTTCCCTCAACTGGAACAACTCCATATTATTCCTAAAAAGAAAACCAAAGGTCATGAGGGCGAACCCGACACTGAAAAGTGGCTTGTTAGTCTTTACACCAAAAACCAGACTGATCTGGATAAAATGCTAGACTTTATACAATTCCATGTCCGCAACAGCATCAATGAACAAACCAGTATGAAGTTAGCCAATAACGTGGTTACCACCGGCAGTAAAGTTATCGAGCACATCCTCGTTGCCTTGGGTCTCAAAGTACAAGGGCTAACCAAAACCCTGATGGAGGATGAGGACGTCAAGCGCTGCATCAAAGAGATTATCATCGAAAACGGCGTCAACACATTAAACTATGGACCAAAAGCCGATCTGGGTCTCAAACTGGTCATGAAGATTGTGCAAACCGATAGCCAAAATCGCATAGAGGAAACCGTCAAGCAAAAGGCACTGGAAAAGGCACTGGAAATACAAAAGCAAAAGGCACAAGAAAAGGAGAAACCTAAGCCAGTGCCCCAGGAGCTAGCTGACAAGTACGATGACTTATAAAAAAAAATGTTAATAATAAATATAGTAATGAGTGGACAAATGACAGAACGTGAAATCAAAAAAGATGGCAAGGTCGAACGTATTGAATTGTTAGGTAGAGGGGGTAGGTTACATAGTTTTGCTGATAAACCTGCGCTAACCGTTTATAATAGTAACGGTAGCGTTGATTGTCTTATTTGGTATCAGGATGGAACCATTGCGAGGCACAGCAAGGAACCTAATTTTATTTCTTATCATAAGAATGGTAGTGTGAAAGAGAAAAACTGGAATGCATATGATAAGGAAAATGAGGAATACAGTGACAATATAAACATAGAGCGATACAATAAAAATGGAGTCCTGACTTATTGCAAGAAATACTCTAATAAAGATTCATTTGAAGAGACATCATGGGACAGTAATGGTGTGATACAGTCATTTTGCAGGGATGATTATGGAGAATTTGAAGTCTCATATAAAGGGGGTAAAATCAATTATATCTCAGGATATCTCGATGAGTACTATTTTTCTAGGGAAGGAAAGATATATTTCAATGTGGACGATGTGCGGTCCAGTCGTGTGTATGCAGACTTTGAATTGCCCCTTGAATATCTATCACAAGAGTGGGTAGAGAATACTGAACGTGAAGAAAATTGATCATATTAAATCATCAAATGGATGAAGTAGAGTTATTGAATCGTGTACTGGGATATTTGGAGGATATCTCCCAATCACATATGTCACCTGATGTTGAGCTGTTATCTATTAAGGAACAGCTGAGGGATCGGTTTGACGCATTGGCAAGAAGTTTAGTATCAAGGTTTCCACTAAATACTGATGTAGATATGATAGATCGTATATTGAATCATCTGGAGGAGCATATCCAATCACCTGAATTCAATGGTGATATTATGGATTTTATGGAAGTAACGGAAGTGCTCAACAATAGGTTTGATCGAATGAGCGACCAATGGATGCAAGTCGAAGAAGATATTGCCAATGATTCCGGAGTAGAGGATGACATTATTTGCATGGCATGTGGTGGTGATGTGGATCTGGATTATGTGTTACAGGCGAAAGAGGACTGGGATGCATCTGGTAATATCCCTGCGGATTACGAGGCATTGTGCCAAACATGTTCTTAATGCCCCAGACAGTTACCAATTCAGATGTATTTCACTTTGTTACCAAGCTTCATTTGCCACGTTATAATTTTTACCAAACTTCATTTGTCACTTTGTAATTTTTACCAAACTTCATTTGTCACTTTGTAACTTTTACCAAGCCAGTGCCCCAGGAGCTAGCTGACAAGTACGATGACTTATAAAAACAAAGAGTCATCACCCCCTTATTTTAAGTACAAATAAGAGAGTGCGGACATTGATAGGGTAAAAAATTGGGTCGAGGTTTGAACTCATTGCGGACACGTTTTATAATCGATTATAAGGGTAAAAAAATGGGTCGAGGTTTGAACTTATTGCGGACTCGTTTTATAATCGATTATAAAACAAGTCCGCACTATTGCAGTTCGGACTCATGTTCGGACTTCGCTGAGCTCAGCATGACACTAGCTTCTTGAGGCGGTCTGAGCCAGTGGCATTTTTTTCTTTCCCCCCCGCCATGTCTAGCCGCTTTTCCGCTCCCAAACCGCGCCGCGTTGTTCGCGACTTTTCAGCTGGGAAAGACCTCCTGGAATCCCTGCGAGTGCTCAACGATGCACTCGAGGATGACGTCGCCAAGCTTAGTGTCGCCAAGGCTTTTGACAACCTGTCCAAGAAAAATGCTGAGGACAGCAAGTTGTTTAGGTCCATGATGTTGGAACTCCGTCAGATTGCTCAAGAAGGCCTGGAAGAGTCCCGCGATGCCTCACAGATAGACTACCCAAGCAAGAACAAGAACAAACAAAAAGGCAACTCAATCAAGCCTCCCCCAGTTTCCAAGAAGAGCGCGCTCACGGCGTTGTTCATGAAGATTGAAGACGAGGCTCAGCAGGCTGTTCACAACGCTGAATATGAGATCTCAGTGGCTTGCACAGAGCAGGTGAGTATTAGTGCTATCCCCCCCCCGAGCTTCTTGAGCCCCAGTTGGCAATGACTAAACACCAACATCATCGTGGCAGGTAACACTTGATGGCGTCAAGTCGGCAGCTGAATTCATGCAACGTTTCAAGGAGAACGAGATCAACATCCAGCAATTGGAGACTCAAAAGCGCATTCAGATTCTCAATTCCGGACATTTCCTCCAGCAAGGAATGAAGGCATTCCCGCCCCCCGACACCTTCCTCTGGGGCGTTTCACGAGAGCTGCAGCTGTCGATCAGCACCCTCAGGAAGAGAATGCAGTATTGCCATTTGCTTACTCAAATGCCAATCCTCTTGCTCTGCCCATCAGCCAACTATGCCTTCGTGACGTCACACGTGAAGGCAATCCAAAATTACGTCAAGGATACCCCCGGCACTGCTTTGCTAGGATGCCGCCCGTCTTTTACCAAACGGGGCATCGCGTCGGAGACCGAATTTGACGCTGCTTTACCAGCTCCTCGTGTGGAACTGAAACCAATCGAGGGGGGTAGAGAAGGCTCTCTCGATGAACCCACGGCGCAGCTTCAAGAGCAGGATGAAGAGTATCGTCATGCAAGTCTTGGCGCGGCAGTTGACGCGCTTCAGACAGTCTCACTCGAGCAACTTACTTTTCTTTCGTACAAGGTGACTCCAGTGAAACTGCCTGATGTGCCTGGTGCAGCTGATCGTTTGAGTCGGATGGACATTGGGTCTGATGTCGAACCCCAAACCTCCCAGAAGGGTAGAATCAAACCCATCGTGAAGAAGAAGTAATAGACGTGACGCTTGCGCCAATTGATCTTGATACCAATCCCTTTCAATGTTCCCCCGAGCCAGTGAACGAGACGGGAAACCCCGCTGAAATGTAAAGGGAAGTTGAGAGAGCAATGTTCCAGATTCTGAAATTTTTTTTTTATTTTTTTTTTTTTTGAGACAGAATACTACTATCCATCCTTTACACTCAAGAGAGATGTGAAAGGTTAAAATTTAAAAGAGAGGAAGAGAGAGCAATGTTCCAGATTCTGAAATTTTTTTTTAATTTTTTTTTTTTTTGAGACAGAATACTACTATCCACCCTTTACACTCAAGAGAGATGTGAAAGGTTAAAATTTAAAAGAGAGGAAGAGAGAGCAATGTTCCAGATTCTGAAATTTTTTTTAATTTTTTTTTTTTTGAGACAGAATACTACTATCCATCCTTTACACTCAAGAGAGATTAATCTATTGGGAACCCCCAGAGGGAAACCCTACCTTATTGACGCCGTAGGCGGCTTGGCTTGAGCTGGTCTGATGATGTCTAGATGGTCGATGGTCGCCGATTTTGTTGAAAAAAATTGGGTATATGCTTCATGCTTTAACGTGCCGTGTCTGTCTGTCTGTCTGTCTAGATGGTCGATGGTCGCCGATTTTGTTGAAAAAAATTGGTTATACGCTTCATGCTTTAACGTGTCATCCTTGCGCAGGGACTACCTCGATGAAACTCGCGCCCTCGCCGTCGAAAAAAATTGGTTATACGCTTCATGCTTTAACGTGTCATCCTTGCGCAGGGACTACCTCGATGAAACTCGCGCCCTCGCCGTCGAAAAAAATTGGTTATACGCTTCATGCTTTAACGTGTCATCCTTGCGCAGGGACTACCTCGATGAAACTCGCGCCCTCGCCGTCGAAAAAAATTGGTTATACGCTTCATGCTTTAACGTGTCATCCTTGCGCAGGGGCCATGCTAATCTTCTCTGTATATAATCCAGTTTGATATGCGGTCCCCCCGAGGGGGGACCGACAGAGGGTGCCATGCGGTTGGATATAAATTTGGGTAGGGGCAGCGGCACCTTGAAGCGCGGACAGGCCGGCGGCGGCGGCGGAAGCGGGGTACCGTCACTGCGTTCGCGTCAGTTGGGGTAAAGTGTGACAAAGTGGGATGGAGGGGTCGTTCAGCAAGAAATGGGGGTTCTTGCAGCTTGTTTGGATTGGGCCTATCAGCGGAAGCAACCAATGACACAATGGGTCAAGGGATGCAGTCAACTTGTGTCAGTCGACTGGCCTTACCGTCTGACAATCCATTTTGTCTTACATTAGATGTCCCGACCGTTACAGAGCCAAACGTCAGATGTTTTGGGTGCAAAATATGACCAGCAGTGAAAATACAAAATAATAGTATGATACGTGTGAGGCGCAGTCAAAACTCCTAGTAACTTGTTTTTCTGACGAATGGACACGACCATGAGCGTTGGTGAGGTGAGAGGAATTCGATAGGGTACTCCCACCACGACGCTGCCACCACGACTGCCAAAAAAGTCTGACATTTTCATTTCGTTCGCGTTCTCGATCTTTGATGAGTCAGAGACAACTACCCCTTGCATAAAACAACCATAACTTGTCTCAGACATCAAGCCCAGAAAAAAAAATTTACATGATCAGATGCGCAAAACCCAACTCTTCAAAAGTCGTTTGCAGGTGTTTTTGGCTTGTTTGGGAAAGAGACAGCTGTTTCTCGAGTCTGACTAGTTCATAGGAATTTCGACTGCGCCTCACACAATTATGTTCTGTCCGCAGAAACGTATCATATCATTTAGATGTGACTTTAGGTACACTTCAAGGACTCTATTTGTGACTTAAATCACACTGTGTCTTGCCATGTAGTAAGTGATTTCGAGCACACTTTGGGTTGCTAGTTCATCTGATGCTCATTAAAATTCAAAATTTAAAATTTGTTGAGTTTCCGGGAAGCACTTCGCTCCAGCATATTTGGCACTTCTTCAAATTCAAAATTCAAATTCAAAATTCGATTGGGACACCTAGAATTCGTGAGGGTTTAGGCTCTCAAACTAACTTGTGCAATTATCACGCACGGGCTGCGACGTGCACAAATGTCCATGTCCGACACCAAACCCTCAACAACCCCTCCCCCGCCTAGATCCAACCCCCGCCCCAACCAGGCTCAGAAATCACGCACGGCCCGCGACGTGCACAAATGTCCATGTCCGACACCAAACCCTCAACAACCCCTCCCCCGCCTAGATCCAACCCCCGCCCCAACCAGGCTCTGGCAAAATGGTCCCGAGCCGTGATTTTTCTTCTTTCTTCTTCTTCCATTCTTAAACCACAATCGACTGAATCTCAAATCGACAAAAATGACACCAACCCGCACACTCAAACTCGAGCCGACACAATTGTTGTTGTAAATTCATGTGCATGGCCAACCGTCACGCTTTCCGTCGCAGCGCCAACGCGAGGGGCCTCCAACTTGTTCGTCTGACAGTTGCAGCACGACCATCCGACGGGCCCGACCCTCACAATCATATCCCTCGGCTCTTCTTCATCCGACACCAGTCCTCCGTCTGTTGAGCGTGTTCACCCGGCCCAAGAGGCTGGCAAATCATCCCAAAGTACGCTTCCGTCTGCACAGGCCGAGTGTCAGCTGCTTCCCTGGTCGTGGCCGCCACCAGTCAATGCCGCACATCAATCAAGACCACAGTCCAGAAAGCATAGCCAAAGTAGCGGCCTCAAAGTAGCGTCATACTGCATCGCATGCCAAGGGAGAAACATGTCCAACAAAAAAATAAAAAAAACCCTCAAATGTGTAGGCTTTGACATTTCGCCAAACGGCTCGTCTCGTACGGCCTCCCAAGTCAATGACAGTGGCTGCCAACAGGTTGGTGCTAGGCCGCGCCGGGCCATCGCGCACAATGATTTCAAGCTCCGCCCACAAAACAGCCTTGTCCACCCTCGCTCACAAAGCTCGAGCTCACACAAACGTGGTCACCGCAATCTTTTTTTTCCAAGCGCGCCAACGACCTCGATCTCCGTTCAGCCAACATCACAATGCCCTGATCCTGGCTTGAACCAGACACATGGCACTGCCTTCGCCGCTCTTCAACACATCAATGCACTTCAAACCCCCAGCTCCAACAAGCCTGCCGTTCACGCTCTCGACACCACGACCCCTCAGAAAGCAAGCACAACCAGAGTAAGTTGTTTTTTTGGGCTCCAGACCCAGTGACAAATTCAAGTGTTTTATTTAAACGACACTGCGTCCAAATCATCCCGACAGCGCACGACGCCGTGGCACCCGGCACCCGCCTGGCTCAACGCCCAGCTTGTCCGCAGCATCGCCTAGGCCTGGCCGCTTGGAGAAAAAAAGCCCACCTTGGTCTTTGGCCCTCGGCTAGCACCCACAGCACCCAATGCAGAGCGCCACACCACCCCTCGGGCCGACACCAGAGCCAGCGGAATAGGGTTCAGACTTCAAACACCCAAGCAACATCCCGACGCCATGGCACACATCTCCCACAACTGGTGCCTTGGGCACCTCGAGCCAGCCGCTGTAGCCCACGACACCCGAAGAAATCCCCCCTCGCCACCTCGCGCCCCGATCCCTCCCCCCGCAGTCGCAGTCCGCCTCAGAGTCGCCAGCCAGAGTTCAGCCAGAGCTGCCAATATCCGTGTCCGCTCAAGACCCCGCCAGATGGAGCACCAGCGCAGCATCGTCGCCGTCTGGTGCTCAAATCTGGCTCACATATAAAACCAAGCAAGATCACCTCAAAGTTCAAACACCCAAGCAACATCCCGACGCCATGGCACACATCTCCCACAACTGGTGCCTCGAACCAGCCTCCAAAGCCCACGACAACCACAAAAAGTCCCCTCAGACAACCGCCCCCATGGGGATCGAGGGGACGTGGCCATGGATTGGAATAAAAAAAAAATTCCAAAAAAAAGACCATCGGTTTACATGTAAGTGAGGTGCAGTCAAGATGTCTCTCAACTTGTTTATCTGTGACGAATGGAGTTGGCCCCGAATTTGATCGGGTACTCCGGTGACGCGCCACGACTGCCGTCATAGTTCAACATTATCCATTTCGTTCACCTTCTCGATCTTTGATGAGTCAGAGTTACAGCTCGCATGCTCAGACAGCAAGCACAAATTTAACTTTTTCTTCTCCAAATGCACAAAACCCAGCTCTTCAAAAGTCGTTTGCAGGTGTTTTTGGCTTGTTTGGGAGTGAGACCGCTGTTTCTCGAGTCTGAATAAAAGTTCATAGGAATTTGGACTGCACCTCACACATGTTCAATTGCTTCTTCTTGAAAGCCAGAGCAAAACGCCGCACCAACCCAACGCCCAGATCTTAAAGATGAGCCGCCCGTGGTGCATCGCCGCCGTCATCTGCTCGCGTCACCATGACCTGGGGCTAGAGCCAGCGTGGTAAAGTTGGGCCGGATCTAGGGCCAGAGCTAACCTAACTTACATGGTTACAGCACAAGAATCATCACGACAACAACTACAAAATAGGGTGACACCTGCACGCTCTGCCCAAGGACAGCTGTAACGGGACTGGATGAACGTGTCTAGTCGGTCTGATGGAGACGTCGTGCAAAGAGAGGCAAACGATATGTCTCTGTTCAATACCATCCAAGGTGGTGCGCCAGCACAATCTACCTGGCTGCCTTTAACCGGCCAACAGCCGCTTGAACTTGGCGCGTAAGCGGGTGCGCCTCCCCCAGCGTCGCCAATTGTATCTGCAACGCCTTGCCGTAGAACTCGAGCGCCTGCTCGTACTGGCCCTGCTTGTCGTAGACACTGGCCATGTTGTTGTAGGTGGTGGCCGTGTACGGGTGCGCCTCCCCAAGCGTCGCCAAATAGATCGTCAACGCCTTGCCGTAGTACTCGAGCGCCTGCTCGTACTGGCCCGGCTTGTCGTAGACAAGGGCCATGTTGTTGTAAGTGATGGCCGTGGCCGGGTGCGCCTCCCCAAGCGTCGCCAAATAGATCGTCAACGCCTTGCCGTGGTACTCGAGCGCCTGCTCGTACTGGCCCTGGCTCTTGTAGACACTGGCCATGTTGTTGTAGGTGGTGGCCGTGTCCGGGTGCGCCTCGCCCAGCGTCGCTAACTTGATCTTCAAGTCCTTGCCGTAGTACTCGAGCGCCTGCTCGTACTGGCCCTGGCTGTCGTAGACACCGGCCATGCCATTGTAGGTGGCGGCCGTGTCCGGGTGCGCCTCGCCCACCGTCGCCAAAGAGATCGTCAACGCCTTGCCGTAGTACTCGAGCGCCTGCTCGTACTCGCCCTGGTTGTCGTACACAAGGGCCATGCCTGTGTAGGTTCTGGCCGTGGAGGGGTGCGCCTCGCCCATCGTCGCCAAAGAGATCGTCAACGCCTTGCCGTGGTACTCGAGCGCCTTGTCATACTGGCCCTGGCAGATGTAGGCGTGGGCCATGCCTATGAGCGTGTTGGCCGTGTCCAAGTGCTCCTCGCCCAGCGTCGCCAATCGGATCTTCAACGCCTTGCCGTGGTACTCGAGCGCCTGCTCGTACTGGCCAAAGTCGTACAAGACCCGTCCAATCTGCATGCAAAAGTCTGCAAACCCCGCCCCCTCGCCGTCCTCCACCTCTCGCGCTCTGCCCGCCACAAGTGCCTGCTCCAGGCACCACCCCCGCAGCTTCGCCTTGATCCGGCCGTTCAGCTCCGCAAACCCCACCGTCGCCTCCACCGTCTGGAAGATCATGGCCCGATCGCTGGCCTTGAACGCCTCGGCCTTTTCCGCCTGCACCCGCACCAGCATGGCCATCACCTCGTCGCTGTCCCGTGCCAAAGCCTTCAAAAACCCGTCGACCTCGGCCTCGGGCAGCCGAATGTCCAGCTGCACCTCCCCGTTCAAGGCGTTCATCATCTCAAACAGGCACCAGGCCCGTGTCATGGGCACGGGGTCGCGCCAGGGGCTCATCACCAGCAACACCCGCCCAATCGCCTTGATGTTCTCCTGAAACGTCTTGCACCACCTGCCACACCCAACGCCCCGTCAGTAATCACGAGCAGCCCCCACCCCGACAAACACCGACAGACGTACCACTCGTACGGGCGGTCAGCAGCAACGTGTTGGTTGTTGGGCACGAGGTCGAGCCAGTAGTAGGCCCCCGGCACCTCCGTCCGCTCGTGGTACAGCACCGTAGCCAGGGTCGTGGCAAAGCTGTACTTCCAGGCATGGGACACAAACACGGTGGCCGGCGCCAGGTGGGGCCGCTGTCCAGGATCCTCGAGGAGCAGATCGACCCAGGCGCAGGCGCGGGCCTTGGTGAGCGGCATGACGTAGCGCGTGCAAATGTCCGAGGTGGTCAGCTTGTCAAACTCGTCGCCAAACTGCTGGCGGAGTTGGGTCTCGAGTCCTCGGAGAAAGGCGGCGCTCACCCCAAGCAGGGCGCGCTCCGAGCCTGGGATGGGAATGGGGTGGGGTTCACGACCATCAGTTGGTGGGGGCAGGGGCGGGTGGAGAGAGACGGAGACAGAGACAGAGACGGGGTGACTGACCTGCTGAAAGGTCGGCCTTCGGCCCTCGAAGGGCCCCGTCGGGGTCCACCGTGGGCGGATCGCCTCTTGTCCGGCTCTGATAGCTGCTCATGATGGAAGAAAAACAACCAGTGGGCGTGTCCCGCGGTGAAAAACACGCCCGAGACCTGACATGTAAGCGAGCGTCATGTTGAAAGCACAGTCCGCCAGTCCGAATGAATGACGCATGACGTTAAAGGGTACAGTGTGAGGTGCAGTCAAGATTCCTATCAACTTGTTTTCTGACACGACCATGAGTGCTGATGAGGTGAGAGGAGCCTCCAAAAACAACCGAGCTTGATACGGTACTCCTGTGACGCGCCGCGACGCTGCCACCACGACTGCCATAATAGTTCAACATTATCCATTTCGTTCACGTTCTCGAGTTACAGCTCAATCTTTGATGAGTCAGAGACAACCACCCTTCCAGCTCGCATGCATAAAATGCGCAAAGGCGCTGTTTTTTTCGAGTCCCACAAAAACAAGACTTAGTGCTTTTAATAAAGCGTCATCTTGAATATACCTCTCCTTTGTGTAACAGTATGTTGTTCAGTGTGCTTGGCAAAGGCGTCTACTATTATGGCAGTCAGTGTTTCGGAATTTGCTCTGCCGTCCCGGCAGCCATGCGTCTCAGACTAGCCTCGATAGCAGCCCTGAATTTTGGCCAAATTTTTGACGCTGCTATCGTAAAGATCGCTTCTCTGTGGCGGCCATACGACCATAAAACATGATTTAGAGACAGTTCATTGAGAATTTGTTCGAGGATCGGATCCTTCTTTTAGTATCCGAGACAAGACGGCTACACGCTCCGCTTTGATGTTCGCAAAAGTTCTTTGCTTCCTGAGATACCCCCGAGGGGTGTATTTCACTGTGCAGATGCCTTACAGTGGTCGAGCACTTTTTTTGTAATAGATCACGACACCCCTGTTTCTCACATTCGTTTGAAAGCGGCTTGTCTCACGAGCGACACTCACTGTAACTTCCTGGCAAAAGTTACAAGGGATTTCCCGAGGGCGGGTCAATTTTTCCATGTCAATTATTTCCCCGCCCCTCCCGGGGGCAGGGATGGGGAGGATGGGAAGAGAGGACAACCTCGCTCGGCTGAAAGCATTGCGACAGGAGAGTGTGACACAGGGCCAATCCCCGTCTCGGTGGCGCGCCTAGCCTTCGTCGTCAACATCCGCACCACCACCTGTGACGGTAAAACCATCGTCGGATTCCGAGTCCGAGTCCGAGTCCGAGTCCGAGTCGTCCGAGGCATCGGAAGCATTAGACTGGGGCAGGGCAATGGATGTTGCCAACCGCTCGAGCTGCTTAAAGGAGTGATCGATGCAACCGGCCACGTCGCCAGGCGTCAGCTCCTCGAACGCGGCGAGTAGCTCTGCTTTGACCTCGTCAAAGGTTCGATCAGCCCTGTCTGCGCGGCCAACCTTTTCTTTGACCTGCGCCCAAACCAATTCCATGGGCTGCAGATCAGAGTAGTGCGGCGGGGAGAATAGAACCGTGTGCCCCATTGCCGCTGCCATGGCCACAATCACCGGCTGCACCTTTGTAGCGAGTTGCGGATGTGCACCCAACCAGATGCTCTCCCTGCTCGCGGCGGGGTCAACCTCAATGTCGTACGCCTGGCACGCAGCGATGAGCTCGGCTTTCGTCATGTCCTTGCGCGGGGCCCCCCGTGGCAGGGACCGATGGTAAGAGGCGCTGTCCATGACAATCACCGTGTCCTCGATCCCTCGCCGCCGCAGCGCCTCCAAGAGCTTGGCCATCCACGCTTCAAAGTATTCGCGGTTGAACATGCCATGATAGTCTTGCGGCTGCTTGCCCCCCACAAAGATATCCAACGTGTCGTCAAGAAGTTGTGCCTCATGAACAGGCTGGCGTAGGGGACCGGGAACCCTGGGGTCCTCACCAATGATGGCGGCGATAAAACAACACCGCTGCCCTTTCTGTGCGGCGCGCCTGCTGGGACCGTCACCGAGCGACTCATGCATCGTGTCGTGATGGAGCTTGTAAGGGTGATGGATGTAGCTCTCGTCCATAAAGACAAACCGCTTCCTGTAGCGCAAGGCCAGTGCGGTCCCCACGTAGGCATCGCGGCGCATCATGTTCTGCTCCCTCTCACGGTACAGCAGAGTTCCGGTTCGACGCTCGCGGCGGAGCCCGAGCTCGCGAATGAGAATCTGCACGTAACGGCGCACCGCGAGCTTCTCCTTGCCGCCCGCGTCCTGCAGGTGGGCTGGTAGGTATCCCCGACGCGCAGAGAAAATCCGTCAGGGTATCGGCGACCACGCGCTCGCCTTTTTGCTCCTTGTCCAAAAGAAAGTTGCGGATATCCACGCGCAGCTTCTTGGTGCGGCGGATGCGCCGGGGCTTGTAGCCGCGTGCGGCCCCACTGGGCGTGTGCTGCGGTAGCCGTCGATGCAGCACAAATTCCTTCCATGCGGCACCGCAGGCATTGGCATTGCGGCCCAGCACGGCAGCGACCTCCTCGGCCCACACGTGCTTGGCCGTGCGCCCACCGCTCGCCGCCTGCTCCGCTTTCCAGGCATTGTGGCGAAGGTGGAGGTGGACGGAGATGATGTCAAGCAGCTCATAGGCCGAGAGCGCCTTCTGCAACATCTGTCGGCGCTGGTCCTGGACCCACTTGCGGCCCTCGGCCAGGTAGGCGTCGTCGACCACGACGGTCGGGACGCGAGAGCGGGTGGCCGCCTTGTCGCCCCCAGATGCGCCCGCAGAGGCGCGCCGCTTCGCACGCTGGTCATCCGCATGTGCCATCAGCTCCTCCCGATCCTCCGCGGGTGGCTCCCAGGCGGGATCGGCCGGCGGCCGCCCGCGCCCTCGCCCGCGCCCTCGCCCTCGCCCTCGCGGCATGCTGGTGGAAAAAGCCGCGCCGGCGCCATTTCCGAGCGTTTGTTCACTTGGTAGCCAGCATCCCGAGGGGCCACGAATTGACATGTGTTGCATTTGCTATAATATTACAAAAAGTCCTCGACCACTGTTAGGAGATTCGGGAGCGCATTGGCGCCCTCGACAAATCCCGTGACAGGTTGGTGCACCGGCAAAGGACCCAGAGGCACAGTGAGAAAATGCCCAGCCCTCGATGCACAAAACTCGAAGCACGTTTTAGGTGGGTCACGTTGGTTCAAGCTCATCGGCGAACCGGCGAGATATCACCACAGGCACCCTCATCATCGCAGTCGTCTACGCAGTCCTTGATGTCGCTGTCGCCGACGTCACATTGTTTGGCGCGGGTAGAACCAGTTGTGTTCGCTTCTCCCGTGTCGAGTGTACTTGGCGGGGCATGTTAAAGGCTGCGCAGTTGGCGTGTGCCGAAGCGACTTCAGAACACGTGCAAATCAAGAGAGGAGAAAAGTGTTGCAGGCAAATGTCGCGGTGACCCTTGCCGGACGAGGTTGGCTCGAGATCAGGGCTGCCCAAAGTTGCCGTTTCGACGATTCGAGTCGAGTCGATTGTCAAAATTACAAGAGGTCACTGCCCCTTGTGACTGTTCATCAGATTCGTGCTGTAAAACATGATTTGTGTGAGTTCGAGCTTTGATTTGCACAAGCGTGCATTTCTGATGTTCGGTTGCCTAATTGTTGGTCCTTGCCTGGAGCAGTCAAACACCGGCAAACGCCTTTTAAACAGCTCGATCCTGTGCATCTGGAGAACCCCCCCTCCCTCCCCCCCCCAAAAAAAAACCCCCAGCTCGATCCTGTCTTCCTCTCAAAGGTTGTTGGATGCATGCGAGCGTTGTCACTGTACCCGACATCCTGAACAGATCATGTCATGTTTTTGATGGCAGTCGTCCCAATCGCCTCTGGCCCACAGCAAAGCAAGTGAATCGGCATGTCGACTGCACCCCACCCTGGTGTTGTACATGCAGCCATCTCGACCAACTGCAGCACCGTGTCCCGCTAGAGTCTGATTAGCCTCGGGCCCACACTTTTGCGTACAACAGTACAACAGAGCCATCGGGTCAATTCAAACCGACACGTGTGCACGACGCATGTGCACGTCTCGACCCCCCCCTCTTCGGCCCCAACCCAGCCCACCTACTCGGACGCCGCGGCCGGAGCGGGAAACACAAAGTTGTTCATCTTGGCCACCTTGTTGTTAACGAGCGTGCAGTGGTGGGGCGAGGCACGAAAGGCCACAATCTCGGGCAGGGCAAAGAAGCGCTCCCAGTACGCCTTGACGCTTGGGAATTCGTCCAAGAAACCGGGGATCAGTTCCACCGCATGGTCCAGTTCCTCGGCCACATAAAAATCCGCGTACGTCAGATGTCCACCCAAAAACGGGCCCTCGGCCTTCTCCAGATACTTTTCGAGCAACGCCAGCTGGGTCGGAAACACCTCCTCCCGCATGCGCTTGGCCTCGTCCTCTGACGCCCGGTAAAAGTAGGAGGACAAATTGCTGTGCAGGTCCATGACCTATGTATGACCCGCGCCAGGAAAAACTTTTCATGAATGCACAGGCGTGCTCGGCACGGCGCATGCATCGGGCGGACGACAACAGGGCTCGGCTCGTAACAAGATCCGGGGCCTCCGGGATCCCCCGGCCGACACTTACAAAGTTGAGGACCATGGTCAGGCGGGGCGCATCGCGGCCAGAGCCCGTCAAGAGTTCGGGCTTCAGCTCACGGCTCACGTGCTCCAGAATGGCCATGGTTTGGGTCAAACCGAGCCCCTTGACACGGTCAAAAAGGTAGGGGAGGTTGGGAAAGTCGAGCCCCAGTGTATACTTCTCGTCGTACCACTCCTGGCGTGACAGCGCTGGGGGGTCGCCCTGCTCGTACATGCGATCCTCAAAGTCCCGCTCGCCGCAGTACCACAAGAGCATGCGGCAGCCTGGTGCAGCACAAGTACATTGGATGAGAGGCCGCGTGCCCACGCCGCCATTCCTAGGAGCCAATCAGAGCCCTGGACAAACATCCCCAGCCGCTCACGTACATGCGCCCAGGCCGCGGATCTTCCAGTAACCAAACTTGAAACGGGTCTCTGCCATCTTTGATTTGGATCTTATTTTTGCAATTCAGACAGTGTGTGTGCACAAGACAAAATGATGGATCAAAAAGTTGAAATACGAGGAATCTATTAAAAAACAACAACAATCGTCCACATCTCCATTATGACTGTCAAGCAGGCGGCGGGGCCGCGCCCGCTAGGCGGGTAGCTTGTCAAACCAGGTGCGCATTTTGAGTGTGACGCGATCGGCTTTGCGCCAATACAAGCTCTCATTCTGTTCCGCTAAAGCAAACAACTGGTCCTGGCGCCGGCTGTTGGCGAGCGCAGCGCCCTCCAGCATGGTGATGGAGCCGAGGGCGGCATGGGGGGCAAAGGACATGTGCTCGCTGAAAAAGGCTTCCGCTTCATGGTCGCTCTCAAAGACATTCTCATGCCGTGCAGTATGTAGCAGCTGATGGCGCCATGCCTCCAGGGACGGGTCAAAGTAGTTCGACTCGAGCTCGACGGCAAAGCTCGGCCGGTGATTCAGCTGACCCTGCTCCTCTGTTTGCACCACCCCACGAATCACAAATGCCCGGCTGCCAGGTGCTCTGCTTTGCACCACCCGTCGCAGCACCATGGCCGCCCCGAGGCTTTGCAGGCTGTCATCCATGCCACGCTGAACCATGTACTCGGCCACCTCGCTGCACGCCCGCCGCGCCACGGCGAATGCTTGTCGAGCAGTCATCTTGCCGCAAGACCGCTCAATATGGATCTGATGGATGATTATCAAAAGAGGAAAGAAAAGAAATGATGCTTTTGTTTGAATTATGAGAATCTAGATCAGATGAAACATCTCATGTTAAAAAAACACACACACACACACACACACACACACACACACACACACACACACACACACACACACACACACACACACACACACACAAGACTTTGTGTTCACATGTCAAGCATGAATTTGTAAAAAAGTCCTAGTCATGCGTAAAACGGCGGTTGGTGCACACGAGCTGCTGCACGGTCGCCAAATCCAACAAACCAAGCAGATGAAAAACAAAAAACGAAAAAGAGAACGAAGAGGGAGAAAACAAACAAACAAAAACTACAAAAAATCAAAACACCTTTCATGGAAAACAAAGTAGCGATAAGCCTCGCTCAAAAGAAAGCAGGTGCGCGCTGTAAGATACGTCCCAGCGCAAAGCATCCATTGCCTCACTGTTTTCAATGCTACAAAGCGGGCACCAAATAACACAGGGTGAGAGGATCATGGATCAGAGCAAACCCTGAGAAAAGTGCAAGTCAACGTACATCGCTCTCAATGGGCGTGTATGCGTCTTGGCGAGACCAGGGGGTGAAAGAGCCCGTCTTCCATCGAATGATGCCAAAGACGAGGCCCACGCCGGCAATAGCACCAATAATACCACCGGCAATGGCGCCGCCCTTGTTCTTGTGCTTCTTGCTGCTTGGGGAGCTCGTGGTGCCCGGCGAGCCAGTGGAAGAGGTCGAGGAGGTCGTGGGTTGGTCGGCAGCGCATGGGACAGGAGGAGCAAACGTGGCATTGCCCACAGAGTCGGCCTGATACTGGAGGGGAGCGATGGCCAGGGTTGCGGCACTCAACTTTTCCATTGCACCGTTGTAGAGTGTACCCTTGACGTTGATATGTGAGCAGGCGAACGAGTGCTTGGGTTCAACCACCTTCATGATGTTGGCCAGGTCCGCGCCATTGAAGACAATCGTAAAGAGGGTTGCGTTGCCCACAGTGTGAGCAAACGTAATGCTAGTTATGGCCTTGGTCTTGCGGCTAAACTCGATTGTCATTTGATTGATGCGGACCTCCGCCGGCAATGGCATGGCCGTTGTGGTGGACATGGGGGCGGTGGTCGAGTTGCTCGGTGCAAGAGTGGTGGTGGTGGTCGAGTTGCTCGGTGCAAGAGTGGTGGTGGTGGTCGAGTTGCTCGGTGCAAGAGTGGTGGTGGTGGTCGAGTTGGCCGGGGCAGGAGTGGTGGTGCTGGTCGAGTTGGCTGGGGCAGGAGTGGTGGCGGCCATGTCGGCATCAAACACGTGGCGCTGGAGAATGATGGAGGAGTCAGAGGCGGCAAAAATAGACCAAGAACCGGTCTCGGTGCAGTTGGCGGGTTCAAAGGTGGTGTGGGTAGCATGAGGCGTGCACGGCACGGTCATGGGGATACCCTCGACGTAGCTGATAATGAGATCAGTAAAGGCCACAGCAATGTGGCCCTCTGCTACAAGCGTCTGCTTATTTGCCGTAGGGGACACTGTCGTGGTCGGCGCGGGTGCGGTGGTAGAGGCGGGTGTAGCGGTCGTGTTGGGGTTGGAGGTGGGTGTGGCCGTGGCGGTCGTGTTGGGGTTGGAGGTGGGTGTGGCCGTGGCGGTCGTGTTGGGGTTGGAGGTGGGTGTGGCCGTGGCAGTCGTGTTGGGGTGGGGCGCGGCATGACAGGCAAAGGCAAACTCAGTTAAAGCAAAAAAGCCGCCGCATTTCTCCGTCGGTGCATCGGCACAGGGCTTATCACAGGCACCTGTTTGCGAGCAAGCCAACGAGCATGAGCGGGCGCAGAATTGAAGAAAGCAAGGAAAGGAGTCATGCAACATACTGGGGTCGGCCGAGTTGCCAATGGCACCCGCTTGCGTGGCCATGGAGCACCAGCATTCATTGCCGTTCTCAATGCCAGCCACAAACTTGCTTCCAATAGCATAGCAGGCGGCAGCGCATTCCACTTGGCTGCGGATGCAGAGGTGGAACACCAAATTGTGAGCCAGACATACCAAACGCATCAGCCCCTCTCTGTACTGGTCAGAGCAGCCAAAGGCCCACGCTCGGCAGCTCACCTGTTCGCCACACCAGCCTTGGTGTCCAGAGTACGGTTCTACAAAAGCAGTTAAGGAGCGGGTGCGGTGGAGGCAGAAGTGAGCAATGTCTCACGCCAAAGAGAACAGCCTCATTGGTTCGCGCTCGTTGTGGCGTACAAGAGCATGGTCTTGGATGCATCCGTAATCTACCAGCGAGGAAGAAGTTACAGTGAGCGCAATACAAGCATGTCGAATATTGCATAACATCAGCATTGACTGACCAGCGTTGATGATACAGCTCACACCGGCCGGTGTCATGGTGGTGGTGGGCGCAACAGTAGTGGAAGCAGCAGTAGTGGAAGCAGCAGTAGTATTAGCGGAAGCAGCAGTAGTGGTGGTGGGCGCAGCAGTAGTGGAAGCAGCAGTAGTATTAGCAGAAGCAGCAGTCGTGGTGGTGGGAGCAGCAGTAGTGGAAGCGGCAGTAGTATTAGCGGAAGCAGCAGTAGTGGTGGTGGGCGCAACAGTAGTGGAAGCAGCAGTAGTATTAGCGGAAGCAGCAGTCGTGGTGGTGGGAGCAGCAGTAGTGGAAGCGGCAGTAGTGTTAGCGGAAGCAGCAGTAGTGGTGGTGGGCGCAGCAGTAGTGGAAGCAGCAGTAGTATTAGCGGAAGCAGCAGTAGTGGTGGTGGGCGCAGCAGTAGTGGAAGCAGCAGTAGTATTAGCAGAAGCAGCAGTCGTGGTGGTGGGAGCAGCAGTAGTGGAAGCGGCAGTAGTGTTAGCGGAAGCGGCAGTAGTGGTGGTGGAAGCAGCAGTAGTGGAAGCAGCAGTAGTATTAGCGGAAGCAGCAGTAGTGGTGGCGGCAGTAGTGTTAGCGGAAGCAGCAGTAGTGGTGGTGGGCGCAGCAGTAGTGGAAGCAGCAGTAGTGTTAGCGGAAGCAGCAGTAGTGGTGGTGGGCGCAGCAGTGGAAGCAGCAGTAGTATTGGTGGCAGCGCTGGCCGCCATGGCAGCCAGCAAAAGTGCGAGCATGGTCAGAGCACGCATCGTGTCGATCGATTCTTGAAAAGGGCACCAGAAAATCTAAAGAGCCAAGTATCAGCAACACAAGAAGAGCATCCGAGGATGAGGGCAGTACGAGAGCACATGCAGTCTACACTGTCCCGATCAAGCGGCTTGATCGCAACGGCGGACTGCACGGCACGGCCGCGATCGCAGCACAAGCCAGAATCGGACTCGCGATGGACAAGCGGCACCACCAGCAGCCTTCCAACCACAAGCAAGACCAGGCCACGCGCCAACACGAGGGTTCGGCAACAACATCAAAAACGCCAAGAGCGGGGATCATGATGTGTGCGATCGGAATCATCATCATCAGAGATGATGATCGTCTGGACAGCACCACCAGCAGTACTCGATTCCGATCGCAAGCGTCCCCAAAACGACATGGCACAACGCCAAGTGGCCAACATATTGATGGATTCACATACCTCAGAGGGTGTCAGCTCGTAGACAGGATCCAGCACCTGGTTGAGGTGATTGGATGCCTTGAAAGATGCCAGCCAGTAGAGAGGCCGCGGAAAAGAGGGCAACAGGGGGGCTGCCAAAATCACACGCCGAGTCTCTCTCAAGGAGAAAAATACCAGCGAGAAAACAAGTTACGGCACGTTTTGGTTTCGTGTTGTTGTTGCTTCAGTGGAGTTCTCACAAGAGAGGAAAGAAAAGAAGAAAAGAAAAGAAAAGAAAGAGCGTAAGACGTTGTCCAAAGTTGTACATGTGCGTCTGACATTGACGCGATACCACTTGGTAGTAAGCCAGACCTCGCCAAGATTGGCCAAGGGTCGCTAGTGCAATGTGCTACATGTGTGCGCGTCTGCTACATGTGTGTGCGTCAAAGCGCAACACGTGCGAAAATCGCGCCAGTCAGTCTCCCTCCAGACCACCAGTCTTCTCCAGTCTCTTCCCAGACCGAGTCTGCTGGTCTGCGAGAAGACTGTCCCGAGTTTCCCGCCTTACCCTCGTTTTCTCGTTTTCGTGCGACACCTGCTGTGACTCGTTTTGCGGTGTGCCGTTCCGTCTTCGGTTGCCCTCGGCCCATTTGGCCATCGTTGGTACTCTTGGTTTCGACAACGTTCCTCGACCGTCTGTGCGCGAGGCCTTCAAACACCTTTTTGTTGCCACCGCTACCACCCGCAACCAAGACCAACCCGACCCGCCAATCATGGGTTGCGATCAATCTCGTCAGAAAGGTTCGTTGAGCTCAGGGCCGACCAAAGGCGGTCATGTTGCCGAGCCTCTGCACCAATCACGCTCCGTCCGAGTTCCTACCTGCTTTCCGTGCTCACTTGCACCTGTTTCCCCCCCCCTTTTCCCACGCTATGCGTTGTTTTCCTCCGATAGTGGTCGAAGAGTCGAATCGCCCACGCCAGGCCAAGGCCAACAATTCATCCGATGGTACGACACCAACAGCTCGGTCACTTGGGAAAAGACAGGTCTCCCTGTCGTGTGCGCTCTTTTTTCTTGTCAAGGGTGTTGGCTGCGCTGGGTCACTTGGATCCGAACCCTGGTATTGGGCCGTGGCGGCTCCTGCCTCACCCTGTGGTTCTGGTGCACCGACTCATAGCCATCAGCGTGCCTGGCGGCCCCCTGCCCAAGTGTGTATATGATGGTGACGCTCTCAGAACAGCACTGTCAAACCCCAGCCTCCTTGGCCTGCTTGGTCGTTTGGTCACAGCCCGCTTTCACCACTGCGTGCGTCTCCTAGGTTGCGCGATGATAACCTAGGCACTTCGTACACCGAGCAACGCATCAATGAGGAACAGTTTTTCACAGACATTGTAGCCAACACTGAAAAGTGGGTCCCCGCCCCCTGCGCATTGGATGTGCTGGACGTACCCTTCCTCGAGTGCCTGGAGCGACGGCTGGCTCCCCCTGCTTGGGCTCACTGTTTGCTCTCCGACCAACTGCATCCGCGCTGGGCAGGAATCTGATCAGCACGAGCGACGCTCCTGAAACCTTGGACACGAATGAAATCTTGCAACGGACGCGCGAATACAGGTGTGCCCGCCCCGATCACTCGTTCCGTTCCTTTTCCTTTGCGCAAATTGTTTTGCACATGCGCGCCTGCGCGTGGCAGTCACAGGTTGCATCTGGGCATCATCACCCAGTGGTGTATACACTTCAAACCTTGCTGGACTATTCGTGGACACCTTCCCTCACAACCTCAATGTCCTGGCCCTGCATTTTCTACAGCACACTAGTGGTACAACACGGCAAGGTGGACATTGTGACTTCGGATCTTTACCCGCGACCCGCCGTTCACGACGCCGAACACGCTGTGGCCATTCTCAGCGAGTCGCCACTTGCCACCGCCGATCTTTGCGTGCGTTTGCCTATTGTTGAATCGGGGTAGCCGAGTTTGCCTTGCCGTTGACCAAACCCAGCGGGGCCGCTCATCTCCTTGTGGCTCTCATTGATTTATCTCCCGTATCTGTTGCTTGTAGGCCGACGCTCTCGCTCGCGCCCGCGTGGTTGCTGAAGAATTGGCAGCCATGACGACGGGCGGCAAGACCGCCGAGCCCCTGGTCGCCTTCCTGCCCGACCTGGCCCTGCCCTAGAGCCCCGGCGTTGATTGGTGGTTTTGATTCGTGTCATCTGCAAGCAAGTCAATCGTGTTAGGCTCAACCTCTGCTCTCCATTCCCCTGTCCTCCGGCGGGCCATCCACGGATCGTCTCTGGTTTTCCCAGAGTGCAAACAAAAAGGAGGGATCCACCGCAGCAAAATCGGGCATGCCATGAGGCGTACAAAGCCGTCTGGCCGTGTTGCCAAGCCGTGTGGCTTGGGTGCCATGTCAAGGATCCAACGTGCTGCCGGCCAACCGCGCGTTTTGACGCTCTTGGTGCCTCAGTTGAATTCGCTCTCCAGTTTTTGTCCAAACAATGTTAATAAACACCCTCCAACATAAAATGTCAGATAATACATGTAATTCTGTCACTGCGTTCGCGGCGGGGAACATGTTTGCATGTTTGCAATCGTCTTTCGCGCATTGTCAGCATGATGATGGCGATGAAGGTTGCGCGCGCGCGCATGTTGACCAGGATGCCAGCGTGATGGCGGAGAGCGGCGGCGGGCAACGGCTAGCATGGTGTACAAATACCGGTAGTGTGCGTTTGTGTAATGGTGTGATTTCGAGGAGAAACCTCTGGGGAGGATTGAAAACGTGTTGTGATCCTGAGCTTGATCTGTGATCGTGCGCACCAGGAAAGAGGCAATCAACAGGCTGTGATGGCCACAACTGATCAGCTTTGCCCTGCTCATCCGTGATCACGGCCACATCCATGCACTCCTCCAGCTTCTTTCCATGCGTTCGAGGCAAGGTGACTCGGTGATCAGGGGGTTAGCACTGGCCGCAATGCCCATGGATCAGCCCTGACTGAAGCACGCTCAATATTCGCTCGCAGTCTTCTGCCGCGCTGGCATCCACTTGCCCCGCCGGCGTGATACAAGTGTCGCCGTCTGGCGTCAATCAAGCATTTTACATCAATCACTTCAACTATCCAACAAGTACTACTTTACTATATTGGAGATCTTTTATTGCCAGCCTTGACGTCATCAGTCGCTCAAGGCCCATTGCAAGTTTTACTTTTCCGTGCTCTTTGCTTCATATTTCTTTGACAGAACACCTGCACCATGACATCTCTTGCGCAAAACGTCGTCGTGATCGGCTCATCCGGTCAGGTCGGCACTGCCACCATCAAGGCCCTCGCCGCCAAGTATGCCAGCAATACCAACGTCAAGGCCGGAGTGCGCGACCCACAGTCGGCCAAGGCCCGCGAAATCGAACGCCTCGGTACCAACATCCACGTTGTCCATGCCGACATGAACGACAAGCCGAGCATCCGCACCGTCTGCGCCAATGCCGACGCCGTCTTTGGTACGTTGTGACGCCCGCCGTGTCTCTGGGGATGCGTCACGAATGACCGCGCGCGTGCACTCTGCTCCCTCCCCGTACTCACTTGCAATGATGATGCGCTCGTCCGCTAGTCGTTGTCCCTGGCCACATTGACCGTGAGCGCCTGGCTCAGAATGCCATTGAAGGTGCCGTGGCAGCCAATGCCAAGTTCATCCTCTTGCTCAGCGTCATCACCGCGGACACTGATACCATTTTTGGACGCCAGTTTGGCCCCATCGAACGGTATCTGAAGAACAAGATCGTGGATTACGCCATTCTACGTGTGCCATTCTTCATTGACAACCTGTGGTCGTCGCAAGGTACGCCTCGCTCGACTGCATGTATGCGTGTCTGAGCGTCATCCCGTGAGTTGTTGTTTGATAGCCGACGCCCTTTCTCATGCGCTTGCTTCGTTTACCTCTCTTTCTTCTTCTTGTAGCCACCATTCGCAGCCAGAGCAAGATTTATGCCCCGGTGAATTCGCGCAAGAAATTCTCCCCCGTGGCCGTGAGCGACGTGGGTGAGGCTGCTGCTGCCATTCTGGCCAACCATGAGCCTCACCATGGCAAGACATACAAGGTGTGTATGCCATCCCAATTGGCAGTCGTGGTTGCGTGCATGGCCACACCTGTTACACCGCTACACCGCAGGCTTGGCACTCACACACGGGGCTCCATCATGTTTGGCTCGTAGGTGGCTATGAAGCCGACCTCGTACAGCAAGATTGCCAAGAGTGTGTCCAAGGTGCTGGACAAGGACGTAGACTACGTTCAAGTGTCATGGGATGAGACCAAGCAGGCCTTCCTGCAATTGGGTTATCCTGAATGGCAGGTGAATGGCATGATGGAGCTCCTTCGTTACTTTGACAAGGGCAGCAAGGTCACCAAGGAAAAGTCGTCAGACGTCAAGGAGCTGACCGGCCACAAGGCCACGGGCGTCAAGAGCTGGATGCGCCCCAAGCAGGCTGCTTTCCACTAAACCGTGCTCTGCCCGTCTGCATCTGATCAAGGTCAAATCTCGATCATCAGCCTACTTGTGGTAGCGAATCAAGCCAATCCTGTTTGCGCCTCGCTGCGGTCGGGAACCGACGGCTTTGTGTGTTGCTACACGTGTTTCGTGTTTAGTTAATATGTTCTTGACCTTACTCTTCCCGTCTTGCCAGATGATCGGTCATGTGTACCGGTCTGTGTCGCCTCGTGCTGTGCACAGAGCAGTTGGCAAGATGTGTGTGATTGAACCTGTCGTTATTCAAAAGTTGTTGGCTCAGGCTGGTTACCCTGATTGGTCTACAACGTGCACTTTTTTGCACCATGTGAAAAATCGACATGACAAATTGGCGGCACTAGTCGAGTTGACAGCGAAACACCTTCAATTTACAAGTAATGAGCCTAAGAGAATGTGAAAATATGCATCAAATGCACTGCACAGCACAACTACACAATCTTGGTTCCGTGTCTGCACGGCGTATGATCGGGGTGGTATTGGACATGTCTAGAACAGGATCTAAATTATTCTAAACTAAAAGTAGCCTACTAATCAGAGGACAAATAAAACGCCTCGCATAACCTGTTGGCTTTGTGACATGCCGTGTTTGCTAAGCACCATTGGCCGTAGACCAGCATGCGCCTCAGGTATGCATCCGCCGGAATGCAAAAGAAGAAAAAAAAAAAAACTTGGCGGATTTCACCATGACAGCAACGGCTGCATGGGCTGGCGATTTGACTTGGTGTAACCATAAAGTTTCTTAAGCACATTGGTACACTAACGGTGACGCAATGGGCGGGCAGAAAAAAACCATAAACAGGGATGGTGATGAGCATCGAGCATCAAGTTGTGGGTGGGGGTCCGAGCCGTGCGCCTTACCACGTTTGTATTTTCCAGGACCAGAATGTTGACGCGAAGGTGGGTGGCTGTGGCGCTGGAGGACTGCCGCGCATGCGTTTCTGGGGCCAGAAGGAGGAGGCACTCCCCGTGGGCCAGAACGGTTTGAATGTTGCGCATGTTAAAGTGGTGGGGTGTGCGGGTGTCAACGTCGGTGGACGAGCGCCAAAACCAGCGAGCTTTGGGCTTGGACGGGCGGGGCATCAGCGTGGCGCTGCCTTCGGTCACGCTCAAGGTCCAGGTAAAGCGACGGCTTGAAGGTCGGTGGCAGGAGACGTGCTTTGCCATCAGCTTGTGCAGGGCGGTTGGCGAGCAGGCGTAGGGAATCACGAAGCTGCCACGGTAGGCACAGGGATGGGCGTTGACGGCAATGCAGCGACAAACGGGGCAGCTCGAATGTTGATCGAGCCAGCCCTGGAGGCAGCCCGTGTGAAAGACATGCTTACATTCCTCCAGCATCGTCATGGGCTCATGAACGGCATCGTCATCCCTGGAGGACAGCGAGCGAGGGGTGAGGCTTGGTAAACCTGGCATGAACAGCACCGATGAGGGGGAGTTTGTCGGGGTGCAACGTACAGACAGATGACGCAAGACGTGTGTTCCTCAGGATGGGCAGGCATGTTAGCGTGGCAAGACTGAGCGGCGGTGGCAGCCATGGCCGGTGGTCAAGTCAGGCGCACGTCAGAGAACTCGTGGGGCCCAGGGGAAAAGCTGCTTTTTTTTTATTTTATGTGGAAGGCGGTCGGGTTATAACCAGGGGTCGGGGGGGGGGAGCAGCGGGTGTGTGTGTGTGTGTGTGTGTGTGTGTGTGTGTGTGTGTGTGTGTGTGTGTGTGTGTGTGTGTGTGTGTGTGAAAGGGATGCCGATTGACAGGAAAATGCGGGTGGGCAGATGTGAATGGCCTGTCGGCAGCGCGTCTGAACAAAGTGTGAGTATAGCACGAGGAGCAATTGGAGGCAAAATTGTGGGCGGTGCACGGGCGGCATTGGGTTGGTCAGTCAGTCCCTGCCTGGTTGGGAGGAGGGGGTTGATGGGGGTTTCGCACATTCGGTGGGTTGCTGAAGTTGTGGTCATGTGTATTCGCCACGTTCAAGTGACCCACACCCGCACGACCCGAGTTCTTGAAATTATGAACCGGCACCCGCCCGATATGCCTCTCTACCAGAACCAGAGCGCCATATGTTGGCTGGGTAAGCGCCAGCATCTCCATGTGGCTGCCATATCGGATCGCTTATGCTCACTCATACTTTATCCTTGGTGACCCAAGCTCCCATGATGACGCCGCACACACACACATCTCTCTCTCAAAAAGTTATTTCAACGTTGTTAGGTTATGGCATTGAGTAATTCACCGGTTGTGCTGCTTATCGCAGCATGTCATCCCACAAAGCACCTTTTTTGCTTTGTGCAGCTGCTCACACTTTGTGTGCTGGCCAAAGTACATGTAAAAGTATTTTACCTTTTTGTTGATGTACCGAGGGCGAAAGCAGTGAGAAAATGGCATCCTTGGGATGCAGGTCTGTGATGAAAGACGCGCGCTTGGAGCTGATCGGTTGCAGCTCCGGCATCCCATCTGGATCATGAGGTCCTGGGAGTACCATCAGATCAGAACACGGGGCCTGATGGCGCTGATGGCGATCAAGTGCTCGCATGCACCCTATCCGTTACTGCTTCAAACCGCAGGGGAGAGAGATGGCACGGCATCGTCATCACCACATCAGTCCAACAGTCAACAACACAAGCAGAGCCGCAAGCAAGCAGAGAATGGAAAAAGCTTGCTTGCTTGTTGATGTTGATGTTGATGTTGATGTTGATGTTGATGTTGATGGTGATGATGTTGATGTGTGTGCCTTGATGATGATGACCTTGTAGCCAGTGCCTTGCATCAGCAAAACCCGCCACCCCAGCAACGGAACACGGAAACAGAACACTCTGGTACGTGCGAGGCGTCAGGGTAGCTGGCCAATACGCGGGCGTCATTTTGTGCTTGAGCGTAAACTGACACGTTGACACGCGCAGCCCTCCCTGCCATCCCTCGACTTTGTCGCCCCGCAGCACCACAATAACACCTGCCGACCTTGACATGGCGCTGACCATCTCTCCGGCGTCGCCGGTGGCGACCACCACCGCTGATGAATTGCTCGGACACAAGGAGCAGCTGCAAGCTGCCTTTGCCCGCACCAGTGCCAAGGCCTTCCCCACGGCGGCTCGCGATGCCGTGGTGACGCTCGCTGATACCACGCGCCTGGGCGACGCCTGTGCGACTCTGGCGGCAAACCACGTCTCGGCCATACCTGGTAACTTGTTTCCGCTGGTCAAAGATTCTTGCCCGAGTTCATCTCTGGACACTGCCCGTTTCATCTGACCCCATTTTCCTGGCCCGCATTCATACACAGTCCATCGCCATGACCAGCCTCACAATTTTGTGGGCGTATTTGATCTCTTGACCCTTCTCAAGTACGTTTGAGACTGAGCCAAAGCTACTCGGTCAACTCCCGTACCGCCCCCTGCACCCTCATCGCCAATGTGGGCCACCCCCTCCCACTCCTGCTCTGCCAGCACCCGCAAATTTCTCTCTCACACGCGCTCGTACAATGTGCCAAATAACGTTCGCCTCGAATTCTCTAGCTTCCTCTTGGATCACTGCGATACTCTCCGCCACTGCTGCAGCGAAGAGCCCGAAGACCTCTACGTTGACCTTCACTCCTTCACCTTGGGTGATCTCAACGGCGACTCATACAGCCTCCTCAGCGATCTCGTCACTGTGGAGGAGGACGCCCACCTCATGTCCGTCCTTGCTCTCCATGGCGACATTGCCATCTCCACCGTCTTTGTTCGCGCCGCTGATGGCCATCTCGTCAATGGCATCACACGCTCGGACATTGTCAACGCCCTACTGTACGCCGTGGGCCCCATTCGCGAGCTTCTCTTCCAACCCATCAGTGGCCTCGGCCTCAGCCTGCACTTCAAAACCGACACCGTTGCCGGTACTGCCACGCTCTGGAGCGCGCTCCAAGCCATGCGCGAAAAGGTATGAACGTCGTCAGAAAAGTCATCATACCACACGGCATTGCTGTTATTGTTGGGCTGCTCGGCACAACCTTCACTGGGCTGACCGTGCATGGTCCACCGTCGGGCCATTGAACGCAGCGTCAAACTGCCGTGGCCGTCGTTGACCCAGACGGCCAGCTCATGGGCGTCATCAGTCTTTTGGATGTCATGTACGTTTCGTTCGCCTCTGGGGTCAAAGGCGGTCGTGTCATCAACGACAACAGAAGACTGTTTGGTGGTACCTGGTTGCGTTGGCACACAATTTTCTGCTGTCTGTGAGAGGTAGGAAAGGTCAGGTAGATGTCTCACATCCACCACGGCTGCCTCCGCCTCGCATACACAGAGCCCTGTTGTTGAACAAATCTGCCATTCGCCTGATGGACCAATCGCTGGAGCGTTGTCTACACAGCCGCCGACCAGAGGCCCCGGTGACCGCTCTACTCCAAGATAGTCTGGACGCAATTGTTCGGCGCCTGCACGGAACGCAGCAGGAACACGTGCCCCTCGTTGATCGCAGTCAACGTGTGCAAGGCTATTTTGAAGCCAGCGACATTATCGCTCTGTTCTTGTAAAATAAGCTTGAAAAGGTGAAGCACCCCTTCTTACTGCCAAGGGTTCAAGGCACGCGTCGTCTTGAGGCTTGGCTTTTCATCACAATCCATTGTATTTCGGTCAAAGACCCATCAACTTTCTCTCTTTCTCTCTGCCAGTCGTGACAAGCATAACCTGCCATTTGATTCACATGTCAATTGGTACCTCAGTATGCTCATGCAGCGCGCAGCGCCGCCCAACAGGAATTGGAGCCAGAGTAAAATAATAAAGGCCCCGCCTTGGGACAGGCTAGGAGGGATTGAAGACAATACAAAAAAGCAACTAATAACAAAACCAATAACCAGGCGAAACCACGCTCGCCTTTGGCACATCTCTCAGCGCCAGGCGCAGACAACTCAAGTCCAGCCTTCACGTGCCCCCCCCCCCC